AAAAATTACAGCGGTAATTGCACAGTGTGCAATTATCACTCAACGATAATTGCATTGTTTACAAAAAATATTTGACAGGTGTCTTTTCATGTTGAATTAGATATCAAATGTCTTCCTGACATAGCTAAGATATTCAAATTATATTTAATAAACAAAAGTAATAAAATTTAAAGTCTAATAAAATATAACAGAAATAAAATGAATGCACATTTACTTTGTTTACTCAGGATATATACATCAAAATTACACTCGTGCATCAAAATAAACAGATAATTTTACATACAAGCTTGTTGTCTTGTAAAAACTGCATTAATTTATTTTCACATTGGAACGAAAAAGCCCTCCTCCTTCGGAGTCGGGCTTTTTCGCCACAATATGAAAATAAACTCATGCAGTTTTTAGACAACAAGCTTTCATGCAAAATTATCGGTAATTTTGAAGCACTTGTGCAATTACCCCCGACAATTCCTACTTTAATTATTTGAATTAGACAACCCTTATTATTTCCAAGTATTAAATCGGTTCCAGAAATTATTTTGAGATGCGATTTTTGCGGTTTGGTTTATTTTTTCTTTGCTTTCGAATGCGAGCAAAATAATTTGATGGGAGCATTTGAAATTTTYGTGTAAACTTAAAGCAAAGAAATTTTTTCGAACAGCGGATTTTTYGAAAATGAGTAAGATTGTTGTTATATCCCATATTGTAGAGTTTGTATTGCTCTTTCAATTGATAGTAAAAACTTTGAAATCGGTTAAGYCGTTTTGGAGTTACAGGGTTCTTTGAACTAAGCGGTTTGACTCTCCCCCACGCTTTATTTGACAAGTTAGGCAAAAAGTTCATAAGGAAAGTAGTACGGTTTTGTATGATCTTTTGACTAAACTTACTAGATGTTTCGCTTATAGGAACAATTTCTGTATAAAATCGTCTTTTTAAAATACCGTTTGCTACTACTCCATATAGTGGTCATCTGAGAAATTTCAAAACAATTTTCAGCAAATTCTTTTCGTCAAGTTTGTTGTAAATTTTTTTGCGATCACTCTACAACACATACTTTCCAAGATACCGCCGCTCACCATCCTTATTGCGAAATATAGTAAATCGACTAATCGAAAAACTAAGTGTTCGAGATGCCTCCTTTCCTGATCCAAACATCTCGAAGTCTCTACGAGTCTGAAGGACATTTTTAACTTTCTGTTTTACCTTTGAAGTTGAAGTGTTGAAAAAGATCTTGTAAAATGCTAAAATGAACTCGGCCATTTATTCGAAATGTTATATTTTTATAATTTCAACTAATTTATGTTGACTTTTAATTACGTTTCCTAATCACAATTGATGATAGTTCACTCACCATGCTTTTACTTGGTGAGTCTGGAATGTCAATGGGTATAATTGTAACATCCCGCATGTCGATTTTCCAAAGCAAACACGCTAATTTCTGCTCATATCGATAGTGCCTAGAAACTTGGTTTGAAAAAAGCAATTTTTTTAAAAACATATGTTTACTTGAAAGCGAACAATACGCCGACAAACAGAACGGAAGTGGCCAATATAATTCCGGCGATCATTCTCCAATCGACTTTATAAACGCATTTTTCTCCATAGAAGCCACACTTTGGCTCCGCTTTGGGGATTGTTCCCCCAATCCAGTTAATTGTGCGACTTTTATTTATATACCTGAACTCCTGAAATCCACAAAGATTTTGAAGTCGCTAGAACGAAGCTGGATAGTTTAAAAATCAATAACATTTAAAAATCAAACGGTGATGACTTTGCAATAGACTCAAAGCAATTCTTTTGACCTTATTACAAAATCTGCTGGTTAAGATGGTTAAAATGTTGTAAAAAGTGATGTAACGTTGAATACACAAAAACTGATCGAATAAATAAATGTCTATGAGATGAGTGAAATAAAAAAGAATTACCACATCGTCACACATTTACATTATGTTCTAGGTCTTACGGGCAAGGCGGACATAACACTTCCATTTAAAGTGAACTGGAAGTATCCAACTGGTTGCATACTTTTGTCGTTTTTCGTATCCTTGTCGTCCAATAATGAAAGAACCGTAAAATTGCCTTCAGCATCTCCATTTTGATCTATGAACACCTGGGGTATTGAATTTAGATTATTTCCATATACCTATGCCTTCTTTCGCTTAACTCACGTCGTAACCCTTAATGGAGTGATAAGAGCGATTAACGATCCTGCTTAGTATGGCACTGCCATTTTTTGGATCTTCATTAGTTTCAAACACTTCGGTTAATGCTCTTGCGTATATCATTACAGCGTCATATAAATAGGCAGCTTCAATTGGTATCTTAAATAAAGGATGGGCCATTAAAACACCACTGTGCCTAACCCATGTTAAGAGAGCAAAAATTGTTTGTTCAAGAGACGAAATTTTCACAGAACCAAGAGAGCAAAAAATTTTTATAGTAGGAATATTAACCGAAAATAATAAACGTTTCAACATCACAATATTCCATATTCCCGTTCCTAAAGAATCTCGCGTGCATCAAGTTTTCGGGAGTTTCAGAACGGTTTATATAAAATTATTATTTTTATTTTGAAAACAAGATAATATTTGAGTTGAGAGAAAAAATTGACCTGAATATCTATTATTCTCAATGATTATTCCATTCATCTTCTTTGCAAATATTTTCGGGGTTTGTGTCACAGTTTGAATATTTTAAGCATGTTTTAGTGAACATCAACTAAAATTTTACTCTTTCGATTTCCTCTAAAATCTCCACCAGAAACGGTAGGAGTTAAATCTTTCCCGTCATATTGCAGATAATTTATCCCTAAATAAAAGATCTGTATTAATTAACATTTTATGAAAAAGTTGCCTAACCCGGGCTATTTTTAGTGAAAGGAAGGAGTCTTTAATGAATTCCTTTAACCGTCATCTAATTAAAGGCGGACTTTCTTTAAAAATGTTACTCAAATTCGCTTAAAAATCTCACATTGCTTAAACCCTTTAGAAATGATGGGATAAACTTAAAGTAATTATGATTAATTTATTACGGACCCGTAAAGATTCAAAAGGTAATTCTAAAAATTAGCAATAATGACTGGATTTTAGGAAAACAAGAAGGAATTCCAACTTAATAAAGAACAATAAAATTTTCGGCATTGTCACGGCCGACCAAGGCTTCTGATGTAAGTAAGTTCACTATTTACAATTCTTAAGATGTGATAATCTCAGGCACCCATTTCAATCCTATTGGTTATAATCATTTGAGTTTAGCCTGAAAATAACACTCCCGAAACCAAATTACATAGACGAATGTTATTTTCAAGCTAAACCCTGCTGATGAGAGTTAACAGGCTAAAAACTAAGCATGGAGGTGCATGAGAGCACATTTCGAAACATCTAATAAAAAAATAATTAAAATCCCACTTCTCAATTTACATGTATGTAATTTGGACAGTAATTAAGATAAATTGCTCATATCTGCATCACAGCAACATATTTTGGTTTCTTCTTAGGAATTTTTAACGCCAGAAAAAAATTCAACGGCGGCAATCAAATTTAAATTTTTTTGTTAACTAATCGACTGCATATTCAGTTAACATCAGACAATTTAAATTTTTTGATATTGTTATGTGCACTAAATAAAACACAAACGATATTTGTGATAGTAGATTAAAATACACAAAATATTTATTATCAATCGTTCGGCTGCAACAAATGGTTCAATTTATACTATTATTTCATTTTTATTTAAAACTTTATTATTAGAAAGTAGAACTCTCTGAAAACCTGTGTTCGATTGTCACGGAAAACATCTAGTAGATCTGCAGTTGTTCCATTCTAGTCTCAAACATCTTGTATGAGAGTCTTCAGAACTAAGTACGCCAAATCATTCTGATCCGAAATAACTGACAATAATGGTTTATTTTGATGCTTACCGAAATACTATCAAAGATTTTGTGATGATATGGGACGCAAAATGGAGGTTTGGTTGAGAAGTTTTTGATTTTCTCTCTGAAATAAAACCAGAGTAATTTAGTAAACATAAACCACTAAGCGCGGAAAATGGTTCTATTTCCTCGTTTTTTATGATCAAAAAATTACTTTGCTATTTTTTGAAAGATATAAGTAAAGTAAGTTTTATATGACAGTATCTTCCCAGCCCTTTATCTCTACATCGCTCAGAAACTTTTGGCATAAATATGTTCATTTCTTCTTTATGGAAGTTTGGAAGATTTATACTTGATAGGTTCGTTATGCAGTTTCCAAAAATGATTTATTCTTCAGTGCAAAAATATACTTGCTTTGCATATGTCAATGCATCAATTTTTGTCATTTAATTACACATTAGTATATCATTTTTACCAAACGTTTTCTTCATGATTCTATTTTATTGATAAAAAAATTTATATTTCCACTATCGTTCGCCTTGAGTTGGCATTATTTTTATGAATCACAGCGATTTAAAAATAATTGATATTGATTGCATAAACAAATAATTAAAACCCGTAATCTCAAGTATTATCTTCTCGTTGAATTCTCTAATTCTCATATGCATATTTAATCATTTACATCTGCCGTTTATGTTTTAAACTTTTTGTGAGAAACCAAACACATATTAATGTTTACTTACAAATATTTGTTATCTCCTTTTATAGATTGTGTTAGTTTCAAGACCGATCTGAAGTTGCTCTTATCGCTGCCATTCATCCATGGATCTAAGTAATCTAAAAATAAATAATTCCTATTTGAACAAGTTTTAGCTTTGATTCTTTAAGTATCCTAGCTAATCAATAGCTTACCCATTTATAACTTATTTATATTGATCAATTTAGTTTTTTTTTTATTTTATTAAATTTGGAATATCGTAATTACCCAGTTAAAGCCATTATATTACGATACATGAATATGCATAAGTAGGGCATTTAAACCCCGAACGGAAAGATAAGAGGTAATTTTAACCTATATGAGAGTCATAAAGTCCTTTCTAACTTTGTCCGATTGTGACTCAGCAAGTTTTAAGATCTCGTAAAATATCATTCAGTCGGGACTTCTGAAAAGCCTGAATGAATGTACTGTTTGAGCATTGGAAAATTGAATTTCTGGGACTTTTAGCATAAAATAACCTTTCTCTTGCATTTGCCGCATTTATAAACAGTGCATCTTCTTGACAGATGGATTGATATTCTATCTTGGTACTCGCGTTTTATAAAATTTCTTGATTTATTAACTCTATACCCAAAGCAATTTACCTGGCTGGAAAATATGTTCATTAATAAGCAAAAGGGCATTACTGACCTATTTCGACGACTTTCGCTCTCCTTGTGGGATCATAAATTCCATCGTCGACCGAAATGATGACGTAGTTTCCCGTGTTCAACAGTTTCCTCGCCTTCAGACACTTTAAGAAATCGACAAGAGCAATATGCTCTCCCAGGAAAACGTACACTGAAAGTCGACTTGATTAAAAGTGTTCGTAGAATTTATTTTGAAAACGTAAAGGAAAAGTTATTAAACAGCGATTTTCTTAATGAGAAATTCTGATTTATTTGCCAGAGGGCAAATTGTTAGAATTTCATGGCCAGCAGGTTTATTATGAAAGACCCGTGTGAATTTTACATTCTGGATAGTTGGAAACTGTAGATGACTTACAAAATGGAAATTTTATTTAAGTGATTTGGAATTATTTGTTGTATGGCGTTTGAAGCAAACTGCATGGAATGAATGGTTAAAGAAAAGGTTTACTTATTCTCTTCATGAAATTCAAATAATTGTTGGAGTTTCACTTAAAATAAACGAAATCTACAATAAAATTATCACAGCAATGAATCAAAATTACAGGAAACATTACAGAAATGCACGAAATGGTTTGAAGAAGGGGTTGACTAACTTCTTGGTTTCGTAATGTTTTTCCTTGTATCGTAATTTACGAATTGTGAGCAGTATTGGCAATTACAGCTTAACATACATTGAAAATTGTTATTTTTTCTGCTTACCTCTTGTATCTCGATATGTTTCGGCGACAATCTTATCCATTTGCTCGATATATCGAGGAATGTAGTTCGAATATTTTTTTGTTACAGTAAGTGTAAGTCCATGAATCACTGATAATTCCTGGAAAAATAATGCTTTTACCTAATTTGCAGACTTTGAAAACTAAAGCTGGCGAGTACAACAGCTTTAGAAAATACCTTTTAAACGTGCTAAAGTTCTGGCAGTGTCATATTCGGTTAGGATGGCGAAAAATTAAATTACCACAGCTTTAGGACGTAAATCTCTACTTTTTCTATACCGCGGTTTTTGGTTGCTCTCAGAATCTCAGATTTTTTATTGTTTTCACCACTGTGTCTCTGATAGCTTATGCGTTTATATTTTTCAATAGGTAATTTCAGTTACTTTTGGTAAGCATCTTTTTTTATTGCGATCATGGTTTCGTTGCTTCTTCATCGGCTAAACCAACTATTCCACCCGATCTCAGCTATCAGTCCCGATGCTTGGATTGATGATTTTCGATTGATCGATAATTTAAACCAAATTTAGTAGGATCTTACTGTCTGATTAAATCATCGAAAATTACGATGCTTCCGTTAGTACAAAAGCATCTACTTAAAGGGGCGAATAAATAAGGAAAAACAAAACTAAACGCGAACATTTGTATTAAGTAACTTAATAAAGCTGGGCGGAATTGGGATAATGAGGTCAAAGAAACGAGCTGACCCTACAAAGCACATACTTCGGAAAAATAAATTGAAATTGAACGACAAAATTTCAGGACGAAAAAGGTTGAAGATGATAAAAGGTCGGAAATCTAAAGATCGGGTTTCAGAAAAACAAGTTGTAAACAACAAGATTTTGTGCTATAAGAATAAAGATGCTGATAGATTACACACAACTCAAATCATTGACAAATCTATCATTTTCAATTCCTCAATACTCATCTATCAAGTTCTTTTAAAAAATTGTTAGAAACAAAAAATCGAAAGTTTTGGATCAATTCAAGCTACATTATCTACTTTATTATTGACTCATCTTAAATATCCGTACTGAGGAGCCCTGTAGGGCCAAACCTATGTATTCGCCTTAAAAGCACGTAAAAATTTGATGCTTTTCCGAAAATTATATGAAAATGAATGTAAATATAATGTAATAAAAATGAGTTCTCTACTATTTCTTTTATTACTATATTACTTATTTAATTTTCCGAAAAAACGTAAATCGCTCAAAATGTCCTGAACGAGAGATAATTTTCAACGCAAGGTAGTAAAGACCCCTCATATTCTGAGCTCAAAAACTTTAAACATATGTGCATACTAGCTAGTTAAACTTCCCTTGATTTCGTAAAACTCAGTCATATTATAGCTGATGATTCCAGTAAATAAATGAAACTAAACCAAATAAAAAAATAAAAATAAACGAAATAAGCATTTCTAGTAGCAAATATTTGACTCGCAAAAATTACAGATTTGCCTGAAAAATCGTTTTAGGGTCTTAGAATATTGAAACAAATATATTTTTTAAATTAGAGCATTTATTTAGAAATGACTAATTATTTATTATTTGGACAGTAATGAGAAACGTTAATCGGCATCCTCTTAAAGGCTCTTTTCTGTTCGCTGATAAATTAATGTGCATTTACCCACAACACGCACTTATCAGGAATAATGTATAGATTTCGCCTAGACGATAATAATAATCTTAACTAATCTCAAATATCTCATCTTTTGATGAGACATTTTCCCTGGAAATGATCTCGAGATTTATGATGAATGTTTCGAAGGTCAGCAGGTGAAATAAAGATGTAGACACAAATTCTGCCTTTGTTTTATTTCAAAGCTTGGGCTAGCTGGTACTTTTCACAGTTTTCAGAAGATAAATATTAAATTAAAATATGCGTTTCTCTGCGTTTCAATCTGTAAAATTTTAAAAGTTGGTGTAGACCAAAATAATCTGCTCCAAAATTTTTTACCCGAAAATTTCAGACATCTTGTACTCTATGCAAAAAATATAATTTTTTATTTATTATAAGAGTTGCTTTCGTCATATTTTTTACAATTTTTCTCGTTGCACATAAAAAGCTAATAAACTCTGGATTACCCTTTCCGAGACCCGAGCCCTTGAAACTGAAAATACAATTAGGATTTTAATTCGGCTGTAATCTGCATATATGCCACCAGCGGTATATGAACTTTTCATGTTTTTTCTTGCTTTAATCTCGGCCTAGACGTGAAAACCACAATATTTTTATTTTTCGATTATCACGCTCTTTACCTCGATAGCTTCTTGGACTTGGCTTCCAGATGCCGGATCGGTTCCGCAAACAACCACAAATTTATTCCATTTAAATGCGATTAGCAACGCCACCACACTCTTCGAAACTTTGCTAGATGGAGGTAATGTTCTTGCAAAACTTGTAAAGGTGGATTTGTCGGAAACTTTCGTGTCACTGCATCTCTGGAACAAGAAAATGTTATTTTTTAAATGTATAGAAAAGCAATCAAAGTGTGCGCTATTAAATGTCTGATTTAAAAATTTTAATAAATGTCGCACTACGAAAACAACGTGTAGGTAGTTTAAAGAAGAGCAAATATATGCGTTCTAGCACTGTTCAATACATTGTTATAAATCGTTTTAAAACTACTACGCTAAAAGTAAGTTATTTACTTTTCAATAAGCGCACCCTAAATATGTAATTGCATTGGACCACGCCGTGCAACTATTAAGCCAAATTGAAATAATCCTCTGGTCGAAGTAGGGCTTTTCAGTGTTTTCTAGTGGGCATTCGATGTATAAAAGAACTTTACCTACCTAATGACAACGACCACTATAAACTAGACAAAGCGGTTCTAATTAACTGATTTTGTGCTATTTTAGTTTCAAAATGGCTTATTTATACAGGGTGTCTTACCGGGAACCGCCCAATGATAGTAAACTTACCATTTTATACAGGGTGTCCACAAATTTAAACTAATCAAATAAGAACTTTAAGTGACTATAACTTGGTTAATTTAAATACAACC